CAATCAATGGTTGACGTGGATCATGCACAAGCTCTTGCACATTGCAGAGAGTCCCCTTCATTTGATGATGGGGTATGCTTTTGAATAATCTTATATAATCTTTGTTCTCCGTGTACTTTATTAGTGTCTCTTGTTGATGGCTCCTTAGTCAATGTAACGAGTACTTGAGGCAATTGAATCTCAATCGTTTAAGTGAGGTTCTATTCTTTCTGCAGGATTTCCCAATGAACTCTCCTGCAGAGGATGTTAAAATTAGTGAATCATCAGTTGCTGATTTTACCCGTTTCATGTCAACATCTCCTTCACTGTCCTCGTCTCGTGTTGTCAATATTGCACAGCTTATGGAATCAGTTTGTTCTCTCACATATTTTCTGTTTATTAAGCACGTGCATATTTTGTCCACATAGTGTAATCTCTGTCTTGTTACCATAATCTATCTCAAAATTTTAACTGTGGTGCCTCAATGACAACCATATAGTTTCAAGAAATTAACTCAGCAAACTAAAAACAAAAGAGAAATTGGGCACTGTTATAGTTAATTTCAGCTTTTAAAAAATGAGCACACTGTAAAATAACATTTTAATGTTTTTCTTTTTTGAAGTAAAATAACTCGTCACCGTAGATATACAAACACAAATGTAGAGCTTCTATTGTGTTAATACATTCTTTTGGGAAAATTTAAAAGAAATATCTTGATATTTTACAAAAAAGTGCATTTAACAACGGTGGAGGATATTCACGTCGGCACTATACAATGATTAGATTCTGCCACCTCAATAATACCAATAAAACATTTAAACTTGGCCAAGCCTTGGTTTGAAATCAACAGAAGATATGTTCTTTTAAATTGAGAAAATTCCATCTTGATCGCTACTAGTGGTTACCATGCCATCCACCAAATGGTGATAATGATATTATTTTATTGGCAAATAATAATAGAGAAAAATGAAATGCATTGTACGGTTGTAGATAATATTAGAGTAATTTGACCCCTTTACAAGCATGGTATACGAATAGGGTTTATGTTCATTTTTGCAGGCTCTTGAGGTAGCTGGTCAAGTAGCTGGAACATTTGTTTCCACTTCACCGCTTCCGTATGGTGCCATGGCTAGCCAGTGTGAAAGCCTAGGCACAGACACAAGAAAGAAACTCTCTAATTGGTTGGCTCATGAAAACCTTCACATTAAAGCTTCGGATATATTGCTTCCAGTCCTTCCTGGAAATGGGCAAATAACTGCCAGAAAGGTTAGCTTACCCATCATCTTACAGTAGATTTACACATCAACTCTACATAATAGAATTTTCTCTCTCATAATTTCAGAGCTATGCTTGTCCATTATTTTCGTTTAGGTGCAGTAATGTTTCTCATATTTTATTAAAGTCAACCTCATAATTCCACTCTTTCTTAATTTAAGGGATAGCTTAGTGAGTAAGTAGTTCCTAATATTTCCAAAACTATGATTTTATATTTTTCCAACATCAACAGTTATAATCATTTTCCATCATTTCCAATGGAGCCAAAGACTCACCATTTTTTGGTTTGGGAATATGATAGAATAAAGCAGAATGACTCACTAAACTGCCTCTTTGTTATAAGCAATAGCCAGTTCATGCAATTTTTGATGCTGTTTTCATTATGGGTCATCCGAAGATAGATAGGTCTCTCTGTGCTTTAGTATATGGGTAAGCAGGGGCGTAGCTAGGGGGCCAACCCTTGCCCCGGCCCAACCCAAATTTAAAAAATGTATATTTTTAGTGTGAAAAATTATGTGTAATTTTTTTTCCAAAAGTATTATTTGTACCGACCCAGTCTGGCCCAGTGCTTTGGCTCTTCCCCTAGGGGTAAGCCTGCGTATATCCGACCTCCACTCCACCGTAGGTGGGAGCCTTCGCGGCATGAGGTAATGTTGTTGTATCAACATTTATAATCAAACCATACGAAACACTACTGAAATAGGGCTTCATATACCTATAATATTTTATTTTGTATTAATAAATAGAAATTAAAAGTACTACCTCCGCCCCCTAAGTTTGGAACAAATAGGTGTGGTGTGGTTTTTAAGAAAAAGTAGAATTGTGTGGTTGATATTGAATTGATAAAGTGTGAATAAAGTAAGAATGAATTTTAGCCACTCAAATATTATCAAATATGGTACGAGACAAACTTAATGAGAAGTACGAAAAAGGTAAATTGGGACAAAGTTAGGGGGACGGAGGGAGTATAATTTAAGAAACACATAATTGATCTGGACTACTTGCTCTCCGGTTTGAATAGTTGCTCCAATAGGTTGTATAAAACGTGAACAATGATGCATATAGATAATAAAAAGAAAGAGAAGTAGGGGAAAGAAGATTTAAGCTGGCCATTTTTTGTCATTTGATAAGCTCATATTTAGTTCCACCATTTTCAATGGAGCCAAAGACTCACAATTTTTTGGCTCGGGAATATGATGAAATGAGGCAACATGGTTCACTAAACTATCTATGCCTCTTTGTTATGAAGTAGCAGTCCGTCCATGCAATTTCCGACGCGATTTTCATCATATGTCAAATTAGAATAGTCTCTATGTGCTTTAGTACAAGGGTACGGGCCGTACGAGTGCGTACATCCGACCCCCTTACCCCCACCGTAGGTCGAAGTCTTTGCGACACTGTGGTAATGTTGTTGTTGGTGATAAGCTCATATTTACCACCAAAGGAAAGTGGACCATCTAGAGCAGGGAGTATTAAAGTATTAAACACACTAATCCAAATTAGAAAAACTAATGAAGAGAGTTAAAGAAAATATGTGGGAAAGACCGAAAGAGGCTGGTTTACCCCATAAATTGTAACTAGAATATGTAAATCGGTATTCCAATGTTTTTAATCCCAAAGTATTGTATATTCATTCGGCTTTGAAGGCAACCGGTGTACAGGCAATTGATGAAGGCACAGCTGCAGAGGATTTAGTGGCACCAAAAGAGCCGTGGTTAGCTCTTAGGTTACCGCCTGCCAGTCCCTTTGACAACTTTCTCAAAGCAGCTCGGTGTTAGGGAGTTTATTGCCATGGTTTGATCAGTCAAGTAGAGTGGACAAGTGATTAGGCGAGTTTAAGCTCAGACACATTTATTTATCATATTGTTTGTTGCGATTAGTGTATGTTGGCTTTACCTTATTTTTGAACCCTCTTTGTAAAAGTAGTAAATAGGGGCTATTGTAAAAAATCCTAGTTGTAGTTTTTATGTCTTCCGGTGTAGAGTGCATGTCTTTTCTAAACCCTAAACCCTAAACCCTAAACCCTAAACCCTAAACCCTAAACCCTAAACCCTAAACCCTAAACCCTAAACCCTAAACCCTAAACCTAAAATAGGTCAAACAGATTCATTTTATTCATTAATTAGGATATAATTTAATTAAATTTTAATTTAGATTTTGTAAAGATCTTAATGTAGTTTATGAATACTTAAATGTTAATAATTAAAATTGAATAATTATAAATAGGAAAGATTTAATTTTAACATTGATTGTTTAAAAAATGTTGATTTTACAAAACTTTGGGATGAAAGTGATTGAGAAAGTAACACTTATGATTGAGGTTTGAATATAATTAAGTGAAATGCAAAGTATGACATAAAATGGAATAGTGTATTCAATTTCAAAATCTTCCATAAACTTTGTATATTTTTTTAATCGTCAAATCGTATGTTTGAATTAAATCAATAAATTGTTAGTCATTTGACTATTAATAAAATCAGGAATAAAATCAAAGCTAACCCGTTGATATGAGATAATACATGTGCTATTAATGCATGAGCTGTATGATTCGTAGATAGGGTTGGACTCGGTTTGGGCCACCCAGACCGTGATTTGGCCCGGCTCGTGACCTAGCCCGGCCCGCTACTGTGCAGGCCCGGGACCGGCCCGGTCTGGTGGTCCAGGACCGGGTGTGGACCCGAACCGGTAGGGGAAGCGGGGGCGGGCTCGGTTCATGCAAAATGTGATCCAGTCCGGCCGGGTCAGGCCCGGGTTCGGGTCACAACGGCTACAATTTTTTTTTTTCTTTTGGGCCAAAGATGACCGTTGGGGTGGGCTGGGGACAACCCAAACGGCTACATAGCCGTTGGGTGGGCTGCAGGGGGGTTCGGGGGGGGGGGGGGGGTAAAAAACCTATAAATACTCCTAAATCCTACTCTTAACTCTCTACTCTCTAATTCTCTTATTCTCCAATATATTATATTTATATATCTACTTTTTATTAATTATCTACTTATAATTTAGAAATACATACATTATATTACTTATATTTCTTATCTAACTATATATTACTTATACATTTATTATATCTATTAATATAGTTGGAATTATATCTAATTAATTTGAAGTCATTCTATTACTCCATCCGAAAGTCCGAAAGAGGTACAAAATCATTCTATTATTTACACTTGTTTAATTTTGTATTAACATTACTTGAAAAAAAACTAGTTAATTCTCATAATAGTTAAAGTTAAATTATAATAATTTGATTGTTAGTAAAAAAATAGGTAGTACAAAAAACTAGTTGATTAGTTAATTAGTTTTCATTATAGTTAAACTTAAAGTATATTAATTTCATTGTTAGCAAAAAAAATAGATTGTACACAAAACTAGTTAATTCACTAATTAATTTGATTAAAGTAAACTTTAAAATACTAATTTGCTATAACTCGAATTAATAGTTAGATTAATAGTTAATTACTTTATTACAATTTTTTATTAATTGCTACCTTTGACTCTAGTTTAAAAAACTAGTTAATTGTCATTATAGTTAAAGTTAAAGTATATTAATTTCATTGTTAGTAAAAAAATAGGTTGTACACAAAACTAGTTAATTCACTAGTTAATTTGATTAACGTAAACTTTAAAATACTAATTTGCTATAACTCGAATTAATAGTTAGATTAATAGTTAATTACTTTATTACAATTTTTTATTAATATATTTTTATTAATATATTTGTTGCAATTTAATATTTGTTACATTTTTTAGATGGATCGTCCTAGATATTCGGTTGATATAGGTAACCTCGAGCGCAACCGAACGAAAGAGCTTGCGAGGAAGAGATCCCGCAAAGGTAAATCACTTATCGGCTCTTTATCTCAAAGTCGAGATGATTTTGATACGGGTTATGCAAGGAGGGATGAGGATGCGATGACCGACGAACAACTAGAACAAGAATTGCACCGACATAATTCCCGTTTTTTTCAAGACCAACCGAGGACCATTGACGAAGAAGAGCTCGAGGACGACGATGTGGAGGAAGTAATTCCGGAGAGCCACGACGACGACGACGAGGAAGGTGGCGGCAGCCACGACGCCGACGAGCCTGCCTCATCCCAAACCGGTACGAAAAAAAGTAAATCTGAACTAATGGCTAATAATTTTTCTAAGTGGAAGGAGCCGAACACCGGGAACTGGACCGCAACTTGCAGTTGGTGCAAGAAAAACTATAGCTTGGGGATTTGCGGCGGATACGGATCCGCTACAAGACATCTTAAGTCCAAACACCCGGTGAAGTATGAAAAATTAGGTGGCGGAACGGGGAAGCAAACTCAAATATCGAGGTTTGCAAATAACCAACAAGCTTTTGGTAATTTCTCATACAATGAAGCACAAAATTTGACTGGTATGGCTAACTTACTTGTTGAAGAAAATTTGCCTTATTTGTTTTTTGAAAGTCCTGCTTTTCGTGATTATAGAGGTTATAGTCGCAAAACGGTTAAGAAAGAAATTTCAAGGCTTTATGGTGCGGAAAAGGTAAGGTTACAAAATTATTTTGCAAACTTTGATGGGCGTGTTACTGTATGTTCTGACATATGGGAGGATACTTATCATAATTTACATTACTTGAGTGTGACTGGACATTATATTGATAGTGATTGGCATATGCATAAACGTGTTCTTGCTTTCCGCGAATTTAATGATCGTCACACCGCTGAACATATTTATATTTTGATTGAGCATATTTTAATTGAGTATAAATTAATTGATAAGGTGTTTGCTATTGGTTTTGATAATGCTACTAATAATACTGCTGCTATTCCTAAATTGCGTGAATTGTGTGGTTCTACTTCTTTGATGGGTAGATTTTTTCATCAAAAATGTGCATGTCATGTTCTAAATTTATGTGTGCAAGATGGTCTAAAAGCGTTGGGAGCATCTTTGGAGGTAGTCAAGGGGGGGATTAGACGTATTTGGGGTAATGGACAACTTAGAAAAAAATGGCATGATTATTTGATAGAAAGAGGTGAGAAATATGTGGCTTTTCCTAAAGAATTGTCTATTCGTTGGAATAGTACTTATAAGTTAATTGGAGTTCTTCTTAGATATAAACAACATTTTCCTGCTTTTATGAAACAATATGATAACTATATTATAAACTCGGCTGAGATCGACACATGTGAAAAAATTTGTAATGCTTTGATATATTTTAATAATGCAACTAAAGCTTTTAGTCATGTTTATAAACCTACCTCAAACCAATTTATTCGTGAAGCTGTTAATCTCGCCGGTGCTTTTTCAAATTTTGAGAATGCTGATTATGTGAGTTATTTTGGTAGTTTTATGAAGGAAAAGTTTTTAAAATATTATTCACATATTCCGCATATTTATGGTATTGCATTTGTTCTCGATCCTCGTTTTAGACTTGGTTCTTTAGAAAAATGTTTAAATTATTATTATGCTGCTTTTTTTGGTCCAATGCCAATGTATGAGGACAACCCAATTGATCCGAAAAAAGAATACATCGAGGTTAATGATATATTTTATGCATTATTTAATGAATTTCATGCACAATATGGCAATGCGCCCCCTCCCCCGACACAAATATCATCTAAAGAAAAATCAATTTTCCAATCTACATTTGCCAACCTTATAAGATTGGCCTAGGCCCGGCCAGGACCCGGCCCGAGTCCATGCCTATTCGCAGACCTTCTACAAAAAAGTATTAAAATTATGCTTTGCTTCTAAAATCTTCCGTATAGCGTCAAGAACCAAATGTAATTATGTAAATATGACAAGCCCCCCACTTTCTTCAAGCCCTGAATAACTTTAACAACATTTCTCTCAATCTCCACTTTTTGCCAACCCGCCTTGACTGCACACATAATAACACCCTGAACACCCAAAGTGTCTATCCCATCTGTTGACCATTCTGCCTTATATGTCAAGAACCTGATGTAAATATGACAAACCCCCACTTTCTTCAAGCCCTGAATCATTGTAATAGCATTTCTCTCAATCTCCACTCTTTGCCAACCCTCCTCGACTGCACACATAAATACATAATAACATCCCGAACATCCAAAGCCTCTATCCCATCTGTTGACCATTCTGCCTTATATGAAACTCCATGAGCTTTAATAAAATATCCTTTCTCATATTTGGCAATCCACCCCATGCTCTAATTCCCCCAGGCTGATTAACTGCTCCATCCACATTTATTTTCAAGAATCTCGGGTTTGGTCTCAGCCATTTCGTCCCTTCGTTACTACCCGTCCCCCTCATCGTTGGGCACACCCTGCTTTCTTGTACCTCCCTCCAACTCGCCAGCATGTTCTCCGCGACATGAAGTACTCTGGCCGCCTCTTGTTTTTTGGTCCTTCCAAACTGCATTTTTCCGCCATTTCCAAATACTCCAAAGGATTGAGATGAACCTGCTTCGAGCCTCCTTATTCGGATTAACAAGATTCTGCCGTATCCATTGCTCCACCGTGGTCCGTTCCTTCTCGGTCGGAATACCCACAAGTTGCCAAACATCTCCCACCAAGGTGCAAGCCCGTACAACGTGGTCGATGGACTCCTCCGAATCCCCACATATTTTACAGCCCCCTTGAATACTCACTCCCTTCCGCCTTAGGTTGTCCATTGCTGGCAATGTACCATCCAACACCTGCGAAGTAAAATATTTGAACTTCGATGGAACCCGAAGCTCCCAAATCCGTCCCCAGCCACTCCAAGTCCCTGCGTGCAAATCCTCCATCAGTAGTTTATAACAACTCTTGACCAAGAAGACTCCACTTCTCTCACCTGTCCATCAAAAGCCGTCTTTCCTATCTTGCATACTGATAGGAACACTCAAAGTTAGATCCGTATCAGCCAAATTAAATATTTGTGTGAATCTCTGCTGGTTTTAATGTTTTCCTATAAAATCACGCAGATCAGCTACATTCAAGTCCCTCACCCCTCTGGCCGACCCGATGTGATCTTTCCAGAGCCCGGTCCTGGTAGCCAAACATCCGCCCAGACATGAACATCAATATCATTACCAACTCTTCTTCGGATATTTGTTTTCAAAATATTTTGAGTCTCAAAAATACTTCTCAAGATAAAGGAAGGATTATTACCCAAATTAGCATTTAAAAAGCTAGAATTTGGGAAATACATAGCTTTCATCACACGGCTCATGAGGCTTCTAGTTTCCGTAATGAGGCACCACCCATGTTTAGTTAACATAGCTAAATTAGATTACCTAATCCTTCAGAAGCCCAACCCCCTGCTTCTTTCGGTTTGCACATAGCCTCCCAGTGCCTTTATCTCAATCCTTTTTTTATCAAATTTTGATCCTCTCCACCAAAATCCATTCATTAATTTTTCAATCTCATCACATAGATCCTTTAATTTGGCAGTAAAAAGACATTCATGCCATAATTCGGCATGGTTGGATAAAATTTCGTAATAGAACTGCACATCCTACTTTGGATAAGAACTGATTATTCCAATTCTTTTATTCTGTTAAAAATCCGGTCTTTCAAGTAACCCAAAATATGGATTTATTCTTCCTTACCAGCGTCAAAAGTCCTAGATAATGGCTCTGCCCGCCCTCCCTCAGAATTCCCAGAAGCTGACAATAATAATCTTTGAATGGCTCTCCCACGTTCTAACAAAACCTCAAAGAAGATTTATTAAAATTAACGATCTGCCCCGAGTTTGTTTCATAGACCTGCATGATATTTTTCACAGCTGTACATTCACTATTAATAGCTTTACAAAACTATCATCAACAAATAATAAGTGAGACAACCTTGTTCCCCCTACAGACCGCAACCCTATGCACTTCCCCTTTGTGTTTGATTTTCCTCAACATAGCGCTTAGGCCTTCCGCCACGAGGATGAATAAGTAGAGCGACAATGGATCCCCTTGGTGTAGACCCCTCCTTGGCGTAATAGGTCCCAAATAGTCCTTATCAAACTGGACATAATAGCACACCGTAGAAACACAAACTATAAGTATATCCACCCATCTAGAATTAAAACCCATACATAACATGATTTCCTTCAAAAAATCCAAGCTGACCCTCTCATATGCTATGCTCATGTCAGGCTTAAGAGCCACATACCCCTCTGATGGATAGTGTACCCGGGGGGTATATATCCGAGGGGTTATTGCAGAGAATAACTTAGAGAGAAGTCAGAGCAAGTAAGAGAGAGAAAGTATATTGAGTATGTATTAAGCATGGTTTACAATGGGGGAAAGGGGGTGCTATTTATAGTAGTAATAAATGCTAGATAAGGACACGTGTCAGTTTTCTGGTGATCGAGGGGTCACCTCGACCGGGGTGGCACTGGAACTCGCATGTGGCCGCATTAAATGCGGTGGTTGGATGTGACGTCTGTACTTGGTACGGTGATCCAGGCGCATGTGAAGAGGATATTCTGTCGAGGTGGATGCCTTCGGCTGAAGGGTGCTGGGCCGAAGGCTCTTCTAACCGAGGGCTCCTACCTGCCGAGGGCTGCAGGTGCCGAAGGCTTGGTTTTCAAGCCTTGTTCTCCTGTGATGCCTCTTCTAACCGAGGGCTCCTACCTGCCGAGGGCTGCAGGTGCCGAAGGCTTGGTTTTCAAGCCTTGTTCTCCTGTGATGCCTCTTCTAACCGAGGGCTCCTACCTGCCGAGGGCTACAGGTGCCGAAGGCTTGGTTTTCAAGCCTTGTTCTCCTGTGATGTTTCTGAGCTCGATTCCGTCACTGGTAGCCTTCGGCCATAGGGCCGAAGGCACCCCTTTGCGTATTGTGGGCCGCTCAGAGCTTCATTTTGCTGGGCTTGGCCCGTTTGGGCCTGTTGGGCCTGATTGTAGTAGAGGAAGTATGTGGGCCGGGGGTCCCTGGGCCATATACTCCATCAGGAGTCCCCCACTCCTTTTGCCGAAAGGTACTTGAGGGAAAAGGAGTAGCTGTGGTGATTTCCCCGAAGGCTTCCCTGTCCTGTTGGGTGCCTCATTTTCTCAATTCCCCCATATGTCGAGGGCTGAGAGCTTCCTGAAGGGAGTGTAAGTGTGTTGCTCGTATGTGTTTCTTTGTTGTAGTTTGTAAAGTAATGAGAGATCTGCATTTGTGTGCTTTGCCGAGGGCATTTGTTGACTGAAGGCTTTGTGTGGCTGAAGGCATCATGTGGGCGGAGGCATCATGTGGCCGAAGGCATCATGTGGCCGAAGGCATTGTGTGGCCGAAGGCATTGTGTGGCCGGAGGCATTCTGTAAGCCGAAAGCATCATGTCGAGAGGAGTAGATTGCCATTGTGATCTTGCCTCAGCCTGCTGTAGCTGAGAAATAGAAAATTTTTAACATTTGCGTGTTTTGCCGAGGGGAGTCCCCCAGTCCCCCACTCCTTTTGCCGAGAGTTTCTTGAGGGAAACAGGAGTAGAGTGATGCATGCCTTCAGCAGGAGCCACCGAGGGGTGACGCCTTTTGCTCCATAATGGGGAGATGCCTCGTTAAAAACCTCATTAGGAAAAAACCCTGTGGGAAAAAATCCTAATGAGGGAAAAAGAGTACACCGGATGCCCTCAGAATGAAGCAAAAAGAGTGCACCCTTCGGCCTTGATTGTTGAGCGGCGGTTGTGTCTGTCTGCTGAGGGGATATCCAAGATCAGCCTTAGATCCTGCATGAAAAAGCTAAGGAGCCTGTAAGGACCCCCCACCGTTATCAAATAAAGGTGACGGAGGGGTGCAAGGCCAGGTGGGCTTGTGTTAGAGCCCCTAGCATCAAATACAGATGCTAGAGGGATGGAGACCGAGGGGTCTTCATGATGGCCCCCGACATCAAATAAAGATGTCGGAGGGATGAAGGCCGAGGGGCCTGTATGATAGCTCCCGACATCAAACAAAGATGCAGGAGGGCTGAAGGCCGATGGCCTGTGTGATGGCCCTCGACATCAAA